AAGCATGATTAGGATCTTTCAAGCCCAACTATTTGAATATTTACTTGTTTTAGGTATAGTATAATTGTCAGAAGTTTGATTGAATAATTGTTAAATTCGCAACGGCACGAAACTTGTCGATTGTTTATAACGATATTTGAAAATATATGTATACTCTTCATTCTATTTTCATAAGTTGTAATTTGGTATTTTTGACCAAAATATCTTAATAATAAAATAATTGACTTAAAATATTGGTTTGACCCATTCAGCCCTTTTTCTAATAAAAATGACAATTTTAGTCCCTTATTTAAAAAAAAGACATTTTAGGCCCTTAAACCATTTTCTTGGCATTTTTGACCCATAGACTTGTTTAAGTAATGTTTTTAGCTCAAAATTTACTCTTTGGTAGTTTCAGCCCCTTCAGTAAGGAGTTTTTCGGTTAAAGTCCAAGTTTTTCGCAACTTTTACAATTTTGACCCAAATTCCAAAAACTTTACATTTTTGATCCTTTTTGGAAAAAAAAATCATTTTAACCCCTGAAATAGTTTTGTTTACCCCTTTTACCCCCTGTTTTGAGAGTTGTACCATTTCAGTCCCTTGAAAATCATATTTTTGCAATTTTTGGGCCTATGGGCCGAAAAGCCCAAAAATTGGCCCATTAAGCTACAAATTACATATCTAGTCCTTTGAAGATCATAATATTCATAAAAACATTTATTTTAACTGTTTTGACTCTTTTGGTCCTTTGGAAAACCGTGAATGACAATTTTTAACCCAACTTTTGTTTATTTGACAATATAGTCCAAAAATGAGTTTATGTTGCAATATGTTTATTATAACTTTAGAGGGTAATTTTTCTTGACTTGTTTAGTGTAATATATCTTAGATCATGTTTGTTTTCCTTCTTGTGCCATAGATCTCGAGATTTCTTTCCTTTTTGTTACATATTTACCACATAAACACATAAAATCACACATATATACATGAAATCACACATAAAATACACATACACATAGATCTACACATTTTACTTGTATTCTCCCCCATAAAACTTGTGAAAACCGAAAATAGAGGGGTATGAACTCACCTTTTCTTGTTGTTTTCGATTTGAAGAAGAAAGGGAAGAGTTTGATGCTATTTTTCGGCCCTAGCAAGCTTTCTTGTGTTGATTTCGAACTTAAGGAGCTTCTAAGGAGTAGATCGCGAAAATTGTGTGAGTTAGGAAGAAGTTTTGATGAAATAAAGAGGCTAGGTTATGGATCTAAACAATAACTTACCAATGATGATGATTATTGTGGAATAACCTTCTTGAAAAGCTCTAAATCTCGAAAATTTGGAAGGAGAAGTGAAGAAGTTGTTGTGAGTTCTTGAGAGAAGCTTAAGTGAAATAAGTGTGTGTGTGTGTGTGTTGATACTCTCGGCCGAGAGTAGTAGAAGGAGAAGAGAGAGAGATGAAAGGGTGGTGCATGGAAACATGTGAGATTTGCATGGAGATCCCATAGGTATTAAGGAGGTGGCTAATCCTCCTTAATCCTCTAATTTCCCCTTTTTTTTCTTCTACTTGGGCCGAGAGAGAGAGAGAAGAGAGAAAAGGATTTGGGCCTTTTGTGCTTAAGTTTCCTAATGAGAAGCCCAAGCTAATGGTTTTCGGCCCAATGGGCCCTTGAGAGGTTTTACGGCCCAACTTGTATAAAGAATGAGTTTTATGGCCCTTTAGGGCTAATTAGATTTGTTATGGCCCAATAAGGGTATTTTATTTCATTCTAGGCCCATTATGGCCCAAAATGTTAAAATAAATGAAAGTGGGTCCAATTAGAGCTTATTTAAGAGTTCTAAGCCCAAAATAGTCAAAATTGGAAGCATATTGGTCCATTGGGTCCAATAAGAAAATCCTAGTCCAAAATGGACTTAAACCGGGATTTTTAGGGTTTCCAAATTTTTTTGTTGACTATTTGAATGTTTGTATGGGGTATTTGATGGAATTTTGTGGTCATTGAATAAACATCATACATGTTTTCAAGTTTTAGCTACAATGTCATTCTTTGTTAAGTGTTTACAACGTATCAGAATTCCTAGTTGTGACATATGTACATGTAGTAAATCACAATGTTCTTGTATACAATGTGGTCACATTATAACAACATTAAAATCACTAAGATTTGCACACCACCAAAAATTGGTAGTAAAGATGTATTGAGCTAAAAGCATAGAGTTTGTACATCATGTTTTAACTCCCTTTAAATAGAAAATTTCCAGATCATGTGGTGTTCATTAACTCACCTTTGATGGACAAACATCATGTTAGATGCCTAAAAAATCATAATTGTGCTCCATACTAAGGAAAGGGTATGATAATCAAAACATGTAGTCGATGCCAAAAGATTTGGAATACACACTTTACATGTCTACTCTATTGTCGATTAATTCGTCAAACCTACCATCATCAAGTGAGAGTAATTCTAAGTATACGTTAGTGTTAGTCATTCATAAAGTCGACTCTATCTTATGGTTTATTTAAATAAAGCATATGTTTATCGAATCGAATTTGTCTATTGTGTTCACAAAGTCAACAATGTCATGTTTTGCAAATACAAAAATTTCAATCCTAACTCAATCAAATTAGTTAATCATATTACTCTACATATTGATTCTGAGTTGGATTCATATTTGTTTGACAGGTTGAATTTATTTTTACCGCTTTAAAAGCATTCACAATAAAAACATTTTAGAAAAGTTTTTTTCCATTAATAAGCTTTTAAAAAAGATTACACTTACTATGTGAGTTTTTGAACATTTGATTGTACATATCTAGACTATGTTTGACTCACCACAGCTAGCCTATAAATTAACTTATTTTCGAGTTTTTTTTTTTTTTTTTTTTTTTTTGAATTGCCATGTTTGGCAAGGTAAAAAATAGATGATAAGTTAGTTTTTTAGAAGGTTACTTTGAGTAGCTCTTCATAAGCTTTATAAAATTTTTCCAAATATACCTTTAACCAATTATAAAAAACATGTTCTTCTAAATGTCTTTTTATGTCATTTTATATTTTTCAGTTTTTTTAATAGTTAGTCTGTCAAGCATAGGCCAGAATATCAATGAGAGTTTTTTTATTTAAAAAAAATTAATGAGTGATTGCCATAAAACAAATTCAATAATTGTCATAAAAAGTAAATTTATTAAAAATCAAGACTTTGAGTCTTACAAATAAACCAATAAAAAACTCAATCGTTGAAGATATGTTAAACTTTTTGGGATTTAGAAATGTGGTAAGATCTCATTAATAACCTCACCAAAAAGCCAGTCTATTTTGAAAAGTAGAGTTCAAAGGTTTCACAATAGTTAGAGCTATTTTTTCTTGAACTAATGAATGCCATATATAAAAATTAAAAAGAATTGAAAAAAAAAATTGGTTTTTTTTTTTTTTTTTTTTTTTTGTGTGTTAAGTTTTTTCATTAACTTATAATAATAATAGAACCTATTTTTTAAGTGTTTTTTTTCTCGTAACAACTAATCATCAAGTCATCGATCCAAAAAAAACTCAAAAAATCTCCAACATGAGAGTTCTTTCATTAGTTTATTTATGGAACCCATTAATTTTATTTATATTTCTTTATTGTTTTTTTAACTTTAATATTTATAAATGCTTGAAAATCTATGAATATAATATAACTATTAAAAAATTAATGCAAAAAACTTGTAAAATTCCAAGATATGTTAAAAAAGGCTTTATGTGAAAAAGCTTATAAATGCTTTAATCCAATTTTTTTGTGCTGTCTTTTTGCAAAAAAGCTAGAACCTTAGCCTAAAATTCTATAGAACGTTAGCAATTCTATAGAACCTTCGGCTAAAATGTATATAATACTTGTATTTTCCTTCCGAAAAACATGTAAATTATTGTATTAATTTAATGGCAAATAAATAAGAGGTTAATAATTAGTGTGGGGCACGTTCCAAAATTATGCCACAGCTGAGGTTGGTTGGAAGCATGTTCTCATAGCATGCTTTGCCCATAACAGTCGTCTACGTCACCCATGCTCTGCCTTCTCTTATTATTGTCTCCTCCTCTACTATTATTGTCCTTTTCTTTTTAATTTTATTTAAAGTTAGTGATATTTAATCACAATTCAATTTTTTAATTTATATTTAAGAATTAAATTTAAGGGATTAGTATATCAATTCAAATACCCAGTTTACTAAATAAACGATATTCAAAGGGCTTATAGCCCTACGATATCAATAGTTTACCGAAAAATGATTTATAAATAAAGTAATGAGTGTGTGTTAACTGTTTAACAGTCACACTCAAATCAATTTGCATATTTATACATTTAGTATATAGGTTATATATTTAAATTTTATTTTTTGAGAATATATTTTTTATCATACTTAGGATTCTAAATCAGAATAGGTATAATATATATAATATATAATATATATATATAGATATATATATATATATATATAGATATTATATATAGATTATATAAATCTTGAGACAATATATAAACACTTTTTTTATAGTAAACAAGCTTCTTTTAATTAATTCCAATTAGGGTATGTGCACATGACATTAAGAGATTTGTATCATGTGCATACATATGGATATTTTAGGATTAACTTTATAGGAGTTTTATATTTCTAATAACGTTTTGTTACCAATTTAAACTTATGTCAATAATTTGTCACTTTATTATCATTTGATCAGCAAATATAATACTTAGTTTGTGATTTTAAAGGCCAATTGATTATACACTCCATCTCTAATAAAGTTAAAACAAACATTTTGTAATCTCGACTATTAATAATTTTGATTGAAGGATCGTGATGTACATATATTACTTACTTTGTGATTCTCATATATTTTTGTTATCTTTTTAACATAGTCGTAGTTATTACGATAAATTTCAAGACCCTTTTTTATGAGAATCAACAACACATGAAAAGTAACAAATCTCGCATTCAGTATTATTAGTTGCTATGAACTCCGGTTGTAGACCAAAACACCACGATACCATAATACCATATAAAGGGGTATAATATAATGTGGAAGTAAAATAAAAAAAGAAAGTTTCGGATCTTACAAGGGTATTACAGAATTTAAATTTTCCCCATAAAAGGGGAAAACCAAAATAAATATTAAAAAATAAAATGAAATGGAATGGAATCAACAATATTCAATGTTCCCACAATAATTTGTACGAAAATAAATAAAATCTTATTATATATGAATTTATCTCAAGTAAACTCTCCTCTTTTCTCCCTTGGTGAAATGAAGGGAAGGTACTTGAAACTTTGAAAGAAGTACACGTGGCACATGTTCATCAAACTGTACTGCTGCACTTGTGCTTGAGAACATTGGTAGTCAAGAATCGAATATTGCCATGCGGGCGTAAACTTAGCTCGATTTCACAAGAATCACCAAATCGGCATATGACGTGTCACAAGATTTGCCATGTGTGTCAAAATGCTTAATGGTTGCGACTCTTGATATTGCTAGTTTGAGGCTCTGTTTCATGCGGAAAAAAATAAAAAATGTAACTACAGATAGATATACAAAAAGAAAAATTCATTTTCAGGTTCATAAGTATAGGCATAACCGCATAAACAGAACTGATGTCATTCAATATACATTTAGTACAAAATTAGCAAGTGTTTCCCATTGACATTAATTATATTTAGTTTAATGCAATAACAATTATCCTAAAAAAGTCTACAAAATTGATGACAACTTTCAAGCTGAAAATTAATCTATATGACCTTATAAGGTAAAAGGGTACAACAGTTGGGATGAGATCTGGTGCATTAATGTTGGTATGATCACACGCTGCTTAAACATCTATCGTCACAATCTAAACGAAATATTATAATGTCAAGTTCATAAAACATACTTTTTTCTCTCGTAAATTCTTCCAATGTTTTGACGTGGCACGTAGTTCTAGAAAAATTTCAATTATTCTCAAAAAACCTCAAATCCCCTAAGTTGATGGTAATAATTGACAATGGGCGAATAGGTAGTTATCAACAAAATGATAAATTTGCGAAAACAAATAACATATTGATCAATTGAGGAAAAAGTTGTGAAAATTACCACATGAATGTGTTGAAGCTCTAATGCGATCGATACCCGAAGGTTCCCCTCGGGTCAATCTTAATGCCTCTTGAGCTCGTGATAGTGATTCCGCAACCTCATTATCTCCCGGAAGTTCTTTCGTCAAAATTTCATAGTCTCTCACTGCTTCACCCCAACGCTCAAGCTACAAATCCAATAACATTTTTAAAGAATTAGATCAAGAAAAATAGATACAATTATATAAAAGTATGATGGGTATAAACGAATAAATCAAAGTATCTAATCACCTTTGCATATGAGGCGGCTCTCCTCAAAAGGGCTTTTGTGTAATTTGGCTGGAAGTTAAGGGCAAGATTACAATCCTCTATAGACTTCTCCCACAACCCAAGCTTCGACCAACAAACCGCCCTATTACAATAAAGAACCGAGTTTGACAAGTTGTATTTGAGCCCTTCACCATATGCAACACATGCCTCGGTGAATCTCCCCGAGTTGAAAAGATCTTTGCCACGTGTACGAGCTCGGTTTACTAATTTCACATTTTTTATTAACATCGAAACTTCCGTGTTTCCAAAATCAATCAAACCAGCCTTATCCACAAATGCAACTGCAGTTTCAAACCTGCCATTACCATAATGTTAAAAAAAATGACACATGTTGTGCGGATAAAAGATGTTTAAAAGGAAAAGATTAAACTAGAAAGCTAACCTTCCAAATGCCATGTCAACATGAGCTCGGATGTAAAGCACATATGCTTCCGAGAACATTCCGGAAAACTTGACTTTAGCACATGAAGAGGGGAAAGGGTCTAATTTTGGTAACTCAGAAAGGGTAGAATCGGCATCCTCAAGTTGATGGAGTTTCAAAAACGCCTCCGCCTTGCACGCGATTATCTATAAATTTACACCGTTAAAACACAAGGTCAAATCGTAAAAATGAAAATAAAAAGAAAAGGATTCGTATGAGTACGTGTGGAGACGACACTGCTCCGGTTAACATGGCGGCTTCACATTCCCGAAGTGCTCCTTTCCAATCACCAATCTTTCGGGCATCCGCGCATCTATTAATATGTTTTTCCAAAGTTTGTAATTTTTGTAACTCGGTTATGTCGTTTTGTTGACTATGAGAAAGGTGGTGATAGGCGCGTTCGATGTAGCCTAGCCTGTAAATTATTTAGGGTTAAAATAATCAGACTACTGCAAAAGGGTTATTCTTCCGGCAACAGCTAAGTTGACCCGCACTGTTCTGTCATGAGTGCCAAGAACATCATGACATGATGTAAGTCAGGTACATTAGTTATCTAGGTGGCTATGATGGCTATGACATGATGTGAATCAAGTACAATGTAACATGGTGGCTGACATAAGAGCCCAATGCCAACAAGGAGTAATCAGATTTGGATGATTATGTAAGAAGTAATTTTAGAAAAATGATTATCGAAATAAATGTAACCTAGTTCTATACAAATAATCATTAGATTCTAATTGTCTCGATTATGTGCATAAAATCTAACTAATATTATGTGGAAATTAAGATCTATTGGAGAAATTAAAAAGATTGACTGGATCATGGTTTAATGAAGTTACCGGAGATAAAGAGAAGCTAATCTTTGATGAGCTCTTTGATAACCAGGGTTCAACCGCACAGCCTCCTCACATTCTCTAACCGCCTCCCCAAACCTCCCCAACATAGTCAATGCTGCCGCCCTATTGCTCCGGCAAGCTGCATTTTCCGGCGAGATGGTAATGGCACGATCGTATAAAGATAAAGCGTCTGTGAAATTGCCTCTTTTGTACAACTCATTTCCAGCGTTTTTCACTTCTTCAACATCATGACTAATCATTGCCTTCTTTAAAATTATCCCGATTTCTCCATTTGATTCAACCGATCTTCCCCCACCTTTGATTATACTTCCATGGCCGTAATTGCCAGTACCCATACCCAACCCCAATTTCGGGTCGGGTTGTCGGTGTACGAGAATTCATATTAGATTTAAGGATTTTACCTGATGGGCAGATGTTGCCAGTTGGGTATAAGTTTGTATTGGGAGAATTTACTGAACTTACATTGCCACCACCGCCGCTGCCACCACTGTTGGTGGTAGTGGTGGTGCTGCTAGTGCTAGTAGTGGTGGCAGGACTTCCAGTAAAGTGGATGGTTCCACTACCCGAATATATCAACGGAGCTCCAGTGGAATACGCTCTCCGATGACCACCCCTCCGATTCAACTCACCAGAGCCAGATCGAAGCTTTTCCGGGGTAGTATTGGCGGGGATACTACTCGCATTTAGCTCACCGGAATGAGATCTATTAGATCTTCTACGTAATGGGTCTTTCTCAGCTCCACGCACACCACCACCGCTTCCGGAGATTGAAGTCGCAGAACCCAGATCGAGTTCTTTGAAATCAGGCTTGTTCTGCTCAAGAGAACATGAGTTTTCAAGTACATTGGGAAGTGACTGAAGACCCATTTCATCAAACGGCTTCCCAACATGCTCCATTGCTAAAAATGAAGAAATTCGTTGGAGCAAAAGCTGGGTGGTTGTGGGGATAGCAAGTAGGATGTCTGAAAAAGCTATAAAAATGGAAACTTTAACGGAAGGACATAGAAGGAGAAAAGTCGGTAACAGTACATGAATTAATAGAGAGAGAAAGAGAAAGAGAAAGAGAAAAGAAGAAGAAGATGGGGATCTCGTGATATATAAAAGGAAGAAGCAAAGAATGAATATGATGAGCTGGTGGAGAGCGAGAGGAAGAGATGGGTTGTATCTATTAATTGTTTTTGTGAAATTATGATCCACTCCACCACTGGAATCAGCTGGACTACTACACCACACCTCATCACAGCCGTCCAAAATCAACATAGGGTTCATGTCATGCCATAGAAATTTGTTATTTTATCAATTTAATATATAATTAAATAACATTATTATTAGGGATTTATGATTCCTTATTCCTTTTGATTTTTTTTAAGGGATAATGACCTGATAGTCATGTACATAATTAGTCACTATAGTTTTTTTGTTAAAAAATGACAATTTAACTTGTTTTAACTGTCAACAAAAGGTCCTTATGACCGATTTTAATGGGTTTCGTTAACTTGGAATCAAACGTGGCATACTCACTAACCATTTGGCATCATACATGGAATATTGAATATATAATACCTTAAACAACAGTGGAGGCAGTCGAATTTTCCCTAGATTGCATTGAAGCTACTCCATCTCCAAGATCAAAATGTCAAGTTCTTCTTGCATGTCCAGGTCTTCTCCATCTCTAAAATCAAACGAGATTATTTGTGGTTGTGAACTCCCAACTCGGATTCGAGCCTCCAGGACACGACAGTTAGGGTGTGCCCTAATTCATTGGTGATTTCTGATTTTGACTCTACCAGAAAGTTTAGGGTGTGCCATTCAATGGCGATTTCTGATTTTGACTTTTTCTATGGTTTTGACTATTATCGATTGTGAGTGTAAGATTCTATAAAAGCTTTATGGCGTTTCTAACTCGTTCTTTTTTTGTGTGTGAAGAATTTGAAAAACTGCAAATATTGGGAATGGATAGATGATGAAGATCCTGTCAATTAGATTGAAGCAATTAAGAAAGAGTTGTTGGGACTTAAACAAGAGTTTGATCAAATGAAGAAGAAGCTAGAGCAAATGAAAAAAAAAACTAAAGAGTCATAAAGTTATGTTGATTGTCTTGTTTGTGTTGTACGTTGTTAATATTGTATTTTAAAGATGTTGAAGTTGGATGTAACTTTCTTATGTTTGATAGCAACTAGTACCACAACTATTGGCAATGTACTTTGAAATGAAGATATTGAACTTTGATGTCATTTTGTTTAGCAATAAATGGAAATTAAGATATACTTATGTTAGAAATTAGTATTATTACACTTAATAACAAGGTACGTATGTTTGATATAAGTGGATTGCTATTAAAGATATTGTTGTTATTCTAGCATTAAAACTACAACTATTACCCTTAATGACAATGTAATAAACCAACCATTAAATAAATACAATAAACAAATAACTATTAAACTAACATTAACATCACAAGGATATTACATAAAAAGGTTGATCTTATCATAGTATAACATCGTAAGATCCTACAAAAAACAGGTTCCACTGACATAGTCTATCCAACCATAGTTAAACATCAAAAGATGAGCCAACTAACAAAAGATGTTCCCACAGTTGTAACATCAAAAGATGAGCCCAAGTAACAAAAGATGCTCCCACTGTTAAACATAACAACACATACCCTAACATATCATTCTAAAACAACAAGTTTCCCTTGAATGCTTCCACTACCATCTTTTGCAACTACTTTCCTCTTAAGACCAACCTTGGTGATACGCTCATGACCCTTCCTCCTTGGGCCAACTGTCACTAGAATTGTATTCACTGGACTTGCCAATGGTGTTTTGTTACGTACATTCAGTGCTTGCTTAGGTACATTTGGTGCTTGATTAGTCATTAGAGATTTAGTTTTGTTGCGCCTAGATTCATTACAAGCGGTACACTTTTTCAACACCCCTTTCCTTGAAGTTGTATGCATTCTTGATCCAGTTGCTTCTCTTTCTGACTCACAGAAAAAGATGCAACATAATCTTTTGCATTATGGTTCATGGATGAAATAGCAACTACCCCATGCAAACATGGAATACCTGTTAACTGCCTCCCTCTACATGCACACACCCTATTGTTCAAGTCAACAGTATACCTTTCAGCCCCCAAGGTAACCTTAAACTGTTGATATCCACTTGTATAAACAGTCCAAAACCTGTCCATGTTTTCATTTAAAACATAATCAAATTTAAGGAAATGAAATTTAAAATAAAACTACCTGTGTGCTCCCTTTAGTTTTTTTTCCTCCAAATTACAGGGCAAATTCTCAAATACCAACTCATTCCCTTCATCCTTAGCTGGTATAACCTATTCATCACTAAAACTCTGATGTCCTCTAACATTGTGATGATAGGCCTTCTTCTAGCATTCTTCACAGCAGAATTAAAACTTTCTGACACCCCATTTTCCATAGGATCACAATTTCTACCCACGTCAAAAAAGGCTCTTGACCAATGTTTTGGTTCCTTCTCCATTAGATACTCATATGCACTTATGTCCATATTCTTGATTACCTCCACATAAAGTTGAAAGTTTTATGGAGTTGTAGACCTCACAACCCTCCAAAAAGGTTTCTTAGAATTGTTACCTATGTATTTTTTCTTCAGGTTAGCGTAGATGTGCCTAGCACATAGTCTACGCTCAGCTGCATGTATCTTGTCCTTGACAGCTTCCAGCAAACCCTAATCACAACTAAGTAATTTAATGAATGTAGGAATAAAACATAATAAAACAAAGACAATATATGTAAAAGAAGAGACACCTTGTGTTCATTTGAAATGCGAGTAAGCCTACTGTTATTTCCCCCCTCCAATATCTTCCATGAGTAGGTCTAGAAACCATGTCCATGTCTCTTTATTCTCAACATTGACTACAACCAAAGCTAAATCATAAATATGGTTATTTGTATCCCTACCCACTACTACAAGTAATTCACCTATACAAATTCCTTTTAGAAAATTGACATCAACACATAGTACTCTTCTACAACCTTCTATCAAACCATCCTTAACACCTTTTAAAGCAAACATAATACTTTGAAAAAGCTATGCTTGAATCAGGCATGATGTCCACACTCAGTTTAACAGTAGACCCTGGATTAGTCCTCATATTTTCCTTAACATAATCCCATAATTTTGTTGGATTAGGTGTCTAAGCCAATAAATAAATTAGTATAATCTTGAATTATTAACAAAGTCCTTTTGGGTTGCCCTCAAACTTGGTAATTGACCGGAATGCTTTTTGGAAAGAGAGAGCGACTGATTTATTAATTTATTATATGATTAATAAATTAATTATAAATCAAAATAAATAATTTATTAATGTATTATGAGAATAATATATTAACTAGATATAGTATTGTTTAATTAAAAATTAATCAGAAATTATTTTGAATTAATTTTGGGATTAATCAGATTAATTAAAAGTAGAAGGACTAAAGGTGACAATGTTTAAAAAGTTGAACATTGACCAATTCTAGAACCTCCCATATAGGGGACGGTTTCTAGAGTAGTTCTAGTGGGTTTCTAGAGCTTTTCTTGGGCACTAAGGTAACTTGGATGCCTTAGGGGGAAAGCAAAAGGATTAGGGTTATCTAAAAGGAACTTGTCTTATCCTTAGCCTCCCTATCACCTATATAAATCCCATTGAGTTATGATTTTCAGAATTCACTTCATTCAAAAGAGAAAATCCAAAAATTCCCTTCCTCCTCCTCCCTTTCCTCTTAAGCCTCCAATTTGCTAGGTGTAACGTCCCAAAATTTATGAGGTGAAAATTTCATTTTTAATTCAACCAGAAACACCATTTAATCATTTCAATCATTCAAAAGTATATTAGAGTAAAATAGTTATCAGATTACAATTCCCAAAATCATAAAGTGCGGAAACATGGGTGGATGTGTTGCGATCAAATCGGACCCTTCCCTCGTAAACCGGGACTGCCTGAAAAACATGTTAAACATAAACCGTAAGCATGAAGCTTAGTGAGTTCCCCAAAATACCGCATACCATACATATCTGCCAGCTCAAGGTTGTATCGGGTCTATTTCACCCCCGAGTTTATTTCACCCCTGAGTCTATTTCAACTCATGCGTCGGCCCAAACTGTATCGTGTCTATTTCACCCTCGGGTCTATTTTTTTGGATTAGGTGTCTAAGCCCATAACTATAATTGGTATAAACTTGAATTGATAGTAGCATAGTCCTTTTGGGTTGCCCTCAAACCTAGTAATTGAACATGATGATTTTTGGAGAGAGGTTAATTTATTATTTGATTAATAAATTGAAATAAATAATTTATTAATATATTATGAGAATAATATATTAATTAGAAATAGTAATATTAATTAATATTTAATCAGAAATTAATTTGAATTAATTTTGTGAAGGGTCCAGTTAATGGTTTGGTCTAGGCTTTCATTGTAATAGTCCAGTATGAGTCTTTAATGCGTTTTTTGAGGGTTTGTTTAGTGTTTACGGTCAGGAAGTGAGTTTACGGCCGTAAACCCAGTTTGCGGCCCAGACGGTATATATAGTGGAGGTGTAGGTCTTTGTCTAGTTGTTGATGCCATAGTGTTTACAGTTTATTCCATCGAGTTGTACCTGACGTTTTTATGATATAAACGTGTGCAAGCTTGATTTCTTTTCTTCTTCTACTTCTATTGTGATTGTTTATTGCTTGATCATTGGTAAAGATCCTTTTCAGGACCTTACAATTGGTATCAGAGCAAAAAACGGTGTCAAAACTTCATTCAATCGAGTTTTCGACTGTTTAGACTGACATTCTTCATTGTTCGAGTTTGGTTTTAGTATTTTCGTGGTTAAAGGGACTGAATCTACTGCAAAAACACGTTTTTGAAGAACTTATGGGAGCTTACTGTTGACCGTAAACCCTGTTTACGGTTGTAAACTCAAGAACTTGAACAACCGTAAACTGTGAATCTTCATTAACCGTAATCTAAGCTTCAATAACCGTAAATGCTTAAACCGTAAACGTACAAACCGTAATCATCCAAACCGTAAACATAGTTTACGGTCGTAAACACCTCAACCGTAAACCCAGTTTACGGTCGTGAACACTTCAACCTGTCACACCCCGAA